ATATGTATGTATGTATGTGTATGTATGTATGTATGTATATAAAGTTTTTTATTTTTTCATTTTTATAACACATAATCACATTTATTGAGAGAGGGAGGAAGGGGAAGTAGAGAAGGATGACAGAAGGAAGAAAGGAGGTAGGGAGGAGGAGGAGGACAGAGGGAGAATAAAGTGATGGATGAGGTACAAATATGGTGTAAGGAGAGCAGAAGAGCCAATAATTGTTTTGGGGAGTTGATGGTAAAGATGAATTGATGTAAACATTTACTAATACAGTACGATGTTGGCTAGGTAATAGTATACATGTGATCATTGATAAATTTGTGCTTGGCGGTATCATTTCAGTCTGAAGGCAAAGGCCAACAAGAGGGAATGTAACTTGAATCAGTTAAATTTTTTTGGGGGGGGTGGGAAGCGCATTGTGTTAGAAGGCTGTGGTGGATTCTTTGATTTGATTTACAGTTTAAAAAAAAATAACGGGGTGGGGAATGTTCCACCCTATCAATCAGAATGACTGGGAAGGGACCACTTACTCAGCCTTGCCTTCCTTATCGTTCTGGGGGCTCTGCCCACTTCTGTGGCCAAAGCAACTGAAGGAACAGTAGACCCAGAAGTGCCTTTGGCTAAGACAGCGGATCTACATTGGTTACTAGAGGCCCCAACCACCACCCTCCTCCTCTTGCATCCTCCTCGGTATCGGTGTGTGAGGGCGGAAGTGATTTTAGCATTGGGTAGCCATGAGGGTGAAGCCTAGATCTCCTTGGCATGTTTCACGGCTTAAATCTTTTTCTTTCTTTTCTCTTTTTTTTTTTTTAAAAAAAGGAGTGGTCACATGCTGACCCACCAAAAAACAAAGCCCTTCATTTGCATAGAAGAAGGTTGCAACAAGAGCTATTCGGACCACCGGTCGCTGCGCCGGCATTACGAAATGCACCACGGCCTGCGGCTGTTGAAGGACGAGGAAGCCTGCGAGAGCACGCCGCCTCCGCACGATTCCCACACCCAGGCGGGACAGGGCGGTTTGAGAGCGGCAGAAAGCTTGGCCGTCCACCCGGAATCGCCAGCGGGGCCCAATCATTCCCTCTTGCCCAACCGAGACCTGCTGAGGTGTATCGTTAGCAGCTTGGTCGGCCCGAAGCTGCCGTCCGCTCCGTCCTCATCGGCAGGGCCGAGCGAAACCGACTCCAGGGGAGCCTTCCAGCCTTCCAGCTCTACAGTCTACGGTCAGATTTCCTGTGCGCCCACCTGCAGCGCTACTGCGGTCAGGGAAACCCCCGGCGAGCAAGCCATGAAGGACATGTACCCTTGCCGAAAGACCTTGCCGTCTTCCAGCATGTACACGATCATCAACACGGGGAATTTATCCATCCTCGGGCCGTCGGAGAGCCACGCAAATTTGCCAGACCGCCCTTCCCTTGCGGAACGCGACTTCCCTATAGAAGCCGGTGCTTTGGAGTATTGGTCCAACAGCGGTATGCCTCGTTTCCCCTTATTCAGGGGGCAGAAGTTTCCCACCCCTACCCAACAGCCAAGCAGCAGCGTCCAGTGGGCCAGAAACACGCCCCCCGTTGGTGCCAAAGCCAAAGGACATGGCCTTTACGTCGCTCAACTGTCTTCTGCCGGTCACGAAGCTTCCCAAGGGATAATGGGTCCGTCTCATGCGTTTGACCCCGTGAGACCCACCTTTGAGTGTCCAGATGTTTTGCCCTTCCCTCCGGCTTCTTTAAAGGCCCACGGGGAAGTTCCCGGAGAAGCCCGACTCCGATGCTTCGAAGAGACGTTCAGCCCAGCGGCCAGACTGTCGGATGCCCCGAAACATAGCCTACTCCAGAAGGGCGAGGCCACGCCTCTCTTCCGGCAGCTCTTCATGAAATCCAAGGAGTCCTCTCTGAGCCAGGATCAGCTCCAGGTCCAGAGCCACCTCTTCCAGAGGATCACCAAATCTCAGCACATCGTGTCCCACACCAAGGTGTTGGCTCCGTCGAAGGAGGCCGAAGAGGCAGGAGCCAAAGCGGTCCCCCGTGGGTTTCAGCCGCCGGCGGATTTGGCTCGCCCGGCCGTACCGCCGATGGAAAACGAGGGGCCTCCTCCGACTCCGTTTCAAGCAGACTTTTCGCCTGATCTCAAGAAAGACGGGCACCAGCCACCTCTGCCCTCTTTTCATTCGCCGGCCCTGCCCTCGGTAACCGCCAGCGGCGCGTCCCACGCCAAGCACTCGCGGCCTTCCAAAAGGTGCCTGGAGTGTAAAGAATTTCCCAGCCCCAATCAGTATGAACACACCCCAGGGAACCACACTTACGGGAAGCCCAGGGAATTGGAAAGCGACTCTCCTCTAGCCGGGAAGAAAGAGAAGGCCAAGGCTTGCGCTAAAGACTCCGGCAGCAAAGGACATTCTCGCAGCGGTAGACCTCGCCGGAAGGAGAAGCCCAAGTTTGACATCGCCTCCATGGCCTCTCCTAGCCAAGTAGCCATGGCTTCCTTTTCCTTGCCCAGCACCTCGTTCGAGAGCGTGTCCAGAGCGAAGCCCAAGTTGACGATTTTCAACAGAATTCAGGCATGTTTTCAAGGCTTTTTTTTTAAAATTTAGATTTAGATTTAGATTACTTTATTTGTATGCCGCCCTTTTCCCTGAGGGGACTCAGGGCGGCTCACAATTCAGGGAGAGGGAAGGACAAAACAAGTTACATATATGAAGACAATACATCGTTAAAAAGCACAACAGTCATACTATTCGAGTGGGGTTGGAGTCTTTAGCCCCAGGCCTGTTGGGACAGCCAGGTTTTAAGGGCTTTGCGGAAGGTCTGGAGGGTGGTGA